TGTTTCTAATCGACAATTCTGCAGCGCGTTTTGCTTTCGGCAACATGTCGTGGAGAATGGCGATGCATATTACGTTTCTGTATAAGGTTAATTACCTTATACGGTTCTAATTAAATTGTGTGTCCTTGGCAATTGGAACTTCTGAGCTCTTCTACGGAAGTTCAAGTTTCAGTTGTAGCGTCTAGTTTGCTATTTTTGCAATCTGTATACCGGCTATCACGATGCAGTTGCTGCAAAGAGTGATGCAGATGCCGAAATGCTTCAGTGTGTCCGGAGGATGGGATGTGACTACTTTGTCACTTGAGGCTGCAAAGACATCAGATTGGCTGCAGAGATAGAAGTCCAGGAGTCATGAAAAAATTCAATTTACAGATCAATACAATATATAATCATGAAAATTATAATTTTCTCATACTCCTCTAGTAATGTTTAACTGAAACATACAATAATTACCTATTAAATAGATGTAGAAAGTCCTACGATAAGCATAGCAAAGATGTGGCGTAGTCGCGTGTGATGAATTCCTCGGTGAAATCTGATAAGTCCATAAATCGAGAACAAAACACATTTTGCATAAATAGACATTACACAAAACATTAATTATATATTTTAACATGTTTATAACATAAAACATTTCAATGTTTCTGGCAGAATTTTAAATTAAAATTTTGCAACCTACCACCAACTCTCATAACATCATCACTATTTAAAACAAGCAATTAGGCCAGCGGGAAAAAAGGCAGATTTTTCGGTGCACAAAACTAAAAGTTTGTTTTTGCTCCCACTCAGCAAAAGGCACTGAATGTGCAGAAAGACTAAATTTAATATTCTGCTGTTTCAAATGTAAACAAATAGGGATGCCATGGTAACAAAAAAAATTAGGCTTAGCAGCACATAAACAACTTTTAAATTGTTGATCATTCTACAACTATCCACAAAAAACATCACACACCCGCACAAAAACATCTATGGGATATTCTGAGGATGTTGCTCGCTGGATATGCGTAAATGCTCAGGACATCATCTGCACGCAATCAGATGAACTAAATTCATAAAAAACCTTAACCGGAAGATAAAACAACATAATTCAATCGTTTTTAAAGGGGAAAATGCACAATTTACCAACATATAAGAATAAAATAACTGAGCCGAGTAAGAGAGTGGTGTTTATTTGTGTACTTTTGGTGCGCCCGATTGCAAGCAAAAATGGAGGTGCACAACTACATGTTATAGCAGTCCTATATACGAAATTTCAACGTTCTGAAGCTACTCGTTTTTGAGTTATCCGAGGTAAATAAATAAATACGTACGTACAGAAGCCAGGAAAAAAATCTCTTCTGAATCCATTTAAAATCAGTTTTATAATTCCTTTGGGGGAAAAACTCCTTTGTACATTCCTTATGTACAGATGTCACGCGAAACCATTATTAAATTTCATTCGATAGCGGTCAAAATGGATATTTTCGTTGAAATACGATACCCGGAATTATTTAATGATTACAATACTTCCTTTACTTCGTACAAGGAAGTAAAAGGATAAAAGTTAACAATGCATTATAAGAGCCTCGTATTGTCTGGTACCAAAAAATCATGAGCTCTAGACAGACTGTAGAGGAATTATCCTCAGGTCCTTAACAGTAGGCAGACAAATTCAGTAAAAGGGTATAAATAGATATTCGATCAATACATTTATTCGATCTTTACGGGTTTTGACCTTCGGCGACTTGATTTTTGAGATATCCAAAGCAGCAGTGATCGATTATGTGGTCCGAAGTGAATACTACCATAATAGCTATTGCATAGTGAAGCCAGAGATAGTAAGTACTATGTCCAGAATGTCAAGTTATCTTTCTGGGTGAAATGGTCTATGCTTAGCTTCCTCAGGTCCATAGAAAGAGATTGTTGAGGATAAACTCGTGTAAGGCTTTGCCGTTTAAATTAGTGTTTCTACAACCCTAGCTAGAGTGCTTTGCATTCAAATCCGCTCCATCAATGACATGCATGCTGTCCTGCAAAATGGAGATTGGAACGTTGTAACACTGCAGAGAAGAAAACCGTAGCTTGGAACAGCCACAATATCGTAACCTTTGCTAATGTTCTGGCGAGGAAAATTTATTGTTTACATAAATCGAGACTTACAACGATGGGAACGGTAGTAGCCGCCATTGTTGGAGATCGCCGCCACACGCCTCAGCATTGATTCAAAGAGACTTTGGATGTGTTCTTGGGGTACAGCAGACCAAGCAGCTTTCCCACGTTGCCAAAGTTGATCTGGTGTGGCAGCTTGGGATGTAATCTGGGTCAATCGTTCAGCAACCATGGACCACATGTTTTCTATCCGAAAGATCCGGAGAACGAGCCGGCCCTGGAAGCAATTCAATCTGGCGATTGACAAAGAACCCTTGGACAATGCGTGCCACTTGTGGTCGCCCATTACCCTGTTGAACTATGGCTGTGGGCAAGCCCTGAGGGTAAGGAAGGACAACTGTCTCCAACACCTCGGAGATGTAGTGCTGGCTGTTTAAAGTACCAGCAATGCGTACTAGAGGAGTGCGAGAGTGATATCGAAACCGACAGAAGCGTGTTGCAGACAGAAGCGTGACTCGTCAGTAAAGACAATTTCATTCCATTTTGCCGTCCATATCCTTCTTTCATCGCACCATTGGCGTTGGAGACATCTGTGGTCCTGCGTCAAGGGTAGACGAAGCAGTGGACGTCTTGCCGACAGACCACTCTGCTGTAAACGGCATCGAATGGTACGCGCAGACACTGGATGATGCGTTACAGACTGAATGTGCTGTGCTATGGTTCGTGATGTGACTGAGCGATCCGTCACTGCCATGCGCACAATGTTCCTATCATCACGTGAAGTAGTGCACTGAGGTGGATGCATCAAACACGTCGGTCCGTCGTACCCTCCTGCATCCAACGGTCACATATCCGCCTTACAGTTGTTTGGTTTCATCCAACACGACTATCGATTTTCCTGAAAGATAATACATTCTCTCGGTAGGCCACTATCCTTCCTCTGTCGAACTCGAATACTTGATCAAACGATGATCACTGTTTACTCCGACGCATAATTGATAGTTTTTTTTGAAAAAAAACCACAAGAAAAACACAATTGCCGAACTTGAAATCGTCGAAAACTTTAAGCCTTACATAGCGCTTTGAAGCGGCGCCACAGGCGCGCGTGATGTGCGTCTACGCTGAAATTCTAATCATTTGCATATCTCACCGCCGCTAATGCATGTTGTAAATTTCATGTTATTTGCATGCTTCCTTCAGGTTGTTGCATTTGCGGTGGCCAGCAGTGTATTTCGTGTTTTCCTATTAGTAAGTTTACCACTATAAAAGGTATTAATGTTGTGTATTTTATTTCTAACTTGCTTCTATACTCGCACACACACATACACAAGCACGTGTATCAAAATTATAATTTAAACTAGCGGTATTCCGGCTCTCTGTTCTAAAAGTCGTAATACTTTTCTGGACTATGCCATTTCAAGGTTAATCTATGCCACAGAGCTTGTGTAAAGCTGATGACGTAGCATATTCGGAATCTGAACTCAAAATTTTGAGAACTGAAACTTTTCTAAATCTAAACCAAAACTTTCCTCTTGGTGAGCATCCATACTGGATAACTGCGCACGTTTTTAGCTTGAACCTCTGTGTCTCTTGGATGCTGTTTTGCTGTGCTCTCTTCCTATCGCTACAGTATCAAAAATGTAATTGCTCTTGACTAGACATGATTAGAGTGTCACGCAAATTGAGGCCACAAATATCAATTGAAATAAAAATTATTATTTAATCTGCCTCGACTTTCAAGTTTGCTTTTCATTAAGGATTGAAAATTTTAGTATTCTACGCAATCAAAATTTTCCTCTTCACTGTGAAGTGTCTGAAATAGATCTTGTGGCAAGACTCGCCTGCGCAAGCTGCTACAATGAAAGAAAATCCTGGTGTGTTTGAACATGTCCGCCAATCAATGTTCCGTCGGTGTCAGGCATGTTTGGCCCGACAGTGCAAACTTCGAACATCTATTGTAACATTCAATCTGTCGTACACAATTTGTATTCATGTCCAATAAATGTATCAAATTAATCACTCTCTTGTTTCTATGCCCATCTTCTACCTCTGCAACCACTTACCCCTGACATTTCCGGGCATGGGTTCCTATACAATTCTTAATGCTTATGATGTGTCATACCTTCCCCCGAAGTTTGTTGCAACATTTACCGGACACCCTGTATATATATATATATATATATATATATAAACGGATTTCTCTGATACATATATATATAGGCCGAAGTAAATATATATAAGCCGAAGTGTGTATATATATATATATATATATATATATATATATATATATACATAATCAAGTAATGTATAATTATAAAGTAATATATTATTAAAACACACAGGCTCCTAGTTTATCACGTGGAGAACTGAAAAATGGAAGTTAAGTTTTGCTGATCGGGAGGCTAGAATAAAAGCAACGAAGTTATTCTTAAAAGGAAAAACTGCTTCTTATTTTATACATGAGACATATTCTTATTTTATACATGAGAAAAAGTTTGATAAAAGCCAAACTTTGTTGTGTTATAAAAACAAAGTACAGTTTAATATTTGACTCTGCGCATTGCCTGTAGAAAGTTCAAAATTCGAGAAAACATGTTTACATTTGAGAGTTGCTAACGCATTCAAATCAATCCAAATCCTTACAGATGAATTTAAATGCTACTGTGCAAAATGTTGTGACACTGAATAACAAACCGAAATTAAAAAAAAAAAAAATATTATTATCTTCAATTTATACAAGCTGCAATGTTTACTGTAAGACAAAAATATTGTGCAATTTCAATGCTGATTGTGTTTGACCGCAGATTTAATATCTATTAGAATGTTGATAAAGTTTAAATTAAAAGATAAAAGTGGCGTTATCGCAATCATACTTTTATTTTTTTCATGAGCAAAACGTTTGATAAAAGCCAAAACATATTGTGTTACAGAAACGTATCGGAGTTCAATATTAAAAAAATTTGTGTAATTCAGAGTAGTTGAAAAAATCGTGGAAAATCTGTTTGAGAAGTGTAATTTTGAATTTAATAATTATAAACAATGCTGGAAGTTTTTCTATACGCAGTGTTACTCATCAGTGGCCTTTTCATCGGATTGACTGTAGCATTTTATACGTGGTATGCTAGTCTCGAAAGTACAAAAGCGTATAATCGTTTACCTAATATTAAAGTACATCTAATAATAACATATTGGAAAGAATTAAAGAAAATGTATTCCACAAAGCAACCCTTGGTGTGTAAGTAAAATATTTACATTTATGTTTCTTTTTCAGAAAAGAATCAGTAAAAATTTAAGTAAAATATTGTCTGCTTCGAAGAGAAACACGCCAATGAAAGATACAAAACTAGGCAAAAAAAAAAAAAAAAAAAAAAAAGCAGCTTATAATGACGTAGATTTTGAATAAATAAAAAAACAAAATATTTTGGTTTTGATGATGAGAGATCTATATTTGATCGCGCGAAAATAAGATAGAATTTTATTCAGAGTTTATGCTAACGAAAGATTGCTTGTTTTGCTAAATTTTAAATTATTATTTATTTACTACGATTTCAACGAAAACGAAATGTCTTTATTTATATTTTACTTTTTTAAAAGGATGCTTTTACATTCTGACTGCACTGCAAAATTTTTCGTATTAAAATTTTGAAAGCAACTGTTGAAATTTAAGGAAGATTTTGTAATTTAATATATATTATATAAAATGCACGAAAATATAGTAATTAAAATCAACTATAGTTTAGAAATATGTGATCTCGTACAAATCCTTTTCAAAGTAAAATAAGCAAGCTAAGTATTTTTTTAAAGTAGTCATGTGTGAAATTGTTAAAACAATTACACATACTCCTAGCATATTAATTTCACAAAGCTGAGCATTATTTTAAAGGATTGAGTCCTTAAAAGGAAGGAACATATTTACAAAAGCCTAGATCACACCTTTACGAAATAAATAAGGATTTTGAATGTTATCTAAATTTTGCCTTTCTACCACTTCTAATTTTGAAGTCCTTGGGCTCCATGTGCTATCAGTACGATTTTGCGGTTACAGCCGAAAACATCGCAACGAGAAAACATCGTGGTACAAAACATCGTCGTCGAAAATAAAGCGGTTCAAAAACTTCGCAGTTTAAAAACATTGTCGTCGAAAATATCGTGGTAAAAAATAAAGTATCTACAAATCATCGCATGACGATAACATCGCAGACATGCTTCTTTCAGGCTTTAATAACTGTAAATGGATATTCCCATATTGATTTGTGATCGCAAGATGGAAAGAAGGATAATTTTTACTTTCATACTTTTTATTAACTAATAAATTTTTGCTGAGAAAATAAGAATGAAACTTAAGCATAGAAAATTAATGCAACTTATAGCACTTAATAGAATTTTAAACCGACATAGTTAACTAACAAAGACCATTAATAAATCATTTTTATAAAGTTTTTACTGGTAATTTTTCATGAAAAGTATAATCTATAATTTGCATTTAATTTTTTATGCTTAAGTTTCCTTCTTACTTTTTCAGCAAACATTTATTAGTTAATAAAATATGTGAAAATAAAAATTATCCTTCTTTACGTACTGCGCTCACAAATCATTATGGGAATATCCATTTACAATAATTAAAACCTGAAAAAAGCACGTCTGCGATGTTATCGTCATGCGATGATTTGTAGATACTTTATTTTTTACCACGATATTTTCGATGACGATGTTTTTAAACTGCGAAGTTTTTGAACCGCTTTATTTTCGACGACGATGTTTTGTAGCACGATGTTTTAGAACTGCGATGTTTTCTCTTTGCGATGTTTTCTCCCACGATGTTTTGTAGCACGATGTTTTAGAACTGCGATGTTTTCTCTTTGCGATGTTTTCTCCCACGATGTTTTGTAGCACGACGTTTTCGCCTTGCGTTGTTTTCTCCGCGACGTTTTCGTCCGCGATGTTTTTGCCACGATGTTATCGGCGGACACCGATTTTGCCCAGTTTCATCCCAAATTTGAGGGAGGTGGGTATGAAGGTCTCTCACTCATCTTTCCCTACCACCAATCAAAACTAGAAGACTTTCGACTTGTCATATATTTGGAGAGCCCCCATGCCGCGAAGATACTATACATTTACAAACATCCATGCCTTTTCCGGGATTCGAACCCGAGTCCTTCGGTAGTCAGAGTCACTAATCTCTTTTGAGTGGCATTAATTTACTTAAAAGAAGTTGCTATTGACAGAGACTTTTCACCTAATATTAATGACTAAGCAGTTAAAAAATTTTCGTCTCAGCATATCAAAAAGCACCCTCTCATTTTAGGAGATTATCAGAATTCTATCGTCATTTCTTCCTGTCCATCGGTTAGCTATAAAATTGCAGTTGTTTTACAGAAATTCCACTTTCGGCCCGCTTTCTCTTCTGTCAGTGAAATTCGAACTTCCATACTTATGGATGTGATACTTCAAATATGGACTTTTGGGGATTACAGGATTCCTTGCTAAAATGGTTTAATTTACTTTGGTCAAACTAACAGAGCTTAAAATTTCGCGCTAAGGAACATGAGGAATATTTTAGGAAAAAAGAAACGTATAAATTTCTGTTGCCTAACAATGTTGTTCCAAAATCACGTTTTCTAATTTCTGCAGTCAAAATTATTAAAAAAAAAAAAAAAAAAAAAAAAAAAAAAACACCTTCCGTTGGCGAATTAGATTTTCTAGAGGTGTTTCAGATATATAAAAATCATCCAGTTCTAGTTAGATAACAATTCCAACCTGTCTTTACCTTCAGCTGATAAGGAATTATTGCAAAGCTTTTTCATTTTTTATGTTTCATCAGTTGCAATTTTTAATTAAAAACTGTATTAAAATATAATTCAAAACTTTTCGCGTTAAGTATTTAGGAATTTTATATCAATATGAACAGCATACAGATTTTGACTAAAATTGATAAACCGGAAGAGATCCTTTACTTGAAGTTCTGAACAGAATTTTATAAAGAAATATATATTATGGGATAATACAAAAGTTCTCAAATTTGGTATTTGAAATAGGTATGTGATTGAGAACAACATTTTTAAGTACTAAATGTATTCTTGGTATTATGCGGAATGTAATGAGATTAAGCTCATTACGAAGTCAAGCTGTAGTTATGAATTAATTAATTGTATCAGCCTCAGGTCTCAATTTTATGTTCCTTTCACTGTTGTTTCGAATCACTTTCAAATAAAAGGATGCTGCGTCATCACTGCGTATTATTTTTAAAGAAGTAATATAGCAGATATAAATAATATAACGAATATAAAGAGAAATGTATGCCAACATTTAAAAATAGTGAATTCTAAAGATATACTGGTTTGAAAATTGTCTGATTGTAAAGTAATTGACTTGCGAATCCCAAACAGTAAAGGATCAGAAGATATACTACTATCGATAGGAATTTTTTAATGAAAGCATGATATGTATACGTAAGCACTTATCATTGCCCGTTGTATGGGAGAATAGAATAATAAAAAAAGAGTAGTGTTTATAATTACCATTGTATCATAACGTTAATAAACAAATTAGATTTTATTTATAAACGATCAAGCGGAAGTAATAGTTTATTTTTAGCTCGTTGCTATTTCGCCAATTCCATATATTAATGTGGAATTGGAGGGGAGTCATGTGCTGGCTACAGCAGGTTTTTTTTTGTTCTTTTATTTCTAACACACTCGATAGCTGTTTATAGCTGTATTTTCCTATATATAAACTGCCCACATTTGTTTGAATTTGAGTTAATTTTAAACACCTTTTGAATAATTGTGAATTGAAATTTAGTGAGTACTCGTTGAAGATCCGCCATTTTTTTAACGATAACGAATTTTGTTTTGATTATGATTTTGCTCTTAATCACAGAAGATCGAGAAAATAGTGAAAATTAAAACGTTATATTTTATTTTACTGCATTATGGGGATATTTATTCAAAGACACACAAAAGATCTAGCTAGATTCTGGGCAGACATGACAATGGAGAATGCAAGCTTCCAATCCTTTTGCTCTGTGTGATCTCTAGACACAGATACCGCATTCATAATGACACAAGCAAAAATAGGTTTCATCTGAAACTACAACATTACTATATTAATGGACGCACCTGTCGTTGTAGGCTCTGATTCTTGCTGTAGGGCCAAGAAAATTCGAAATAATGGTTGTCTCTCTAATGATCTGTGGCGCTGTAGGCGTCTTCATGCTTGTATGTGCGATACTTTGTTCTCTGCAAAGCACTCAATTTCCTAACCAGTATTACGTGATTTTGTTGTATGATTTCTAACAATGCTGTATGATGTGTACAAGACCAGAATTCAAAGTCCAGCTATTTTTGCTGAAAGCATTTGTCTTGCAATTCTCAGTGGGGAGAAGAACACAATGTTAGCAAGTTGTAAGGCAATCCATCGTAAAATTGTAACCAATATTGTAAAGAATCAATAGGAGAGAAATGGTAGTGACATGACCAGATTACTTGCCAAGGATATGGACTTCATAATGTGAACAGTGTGAAAACTTCTGTCGTTCTTATTTTTTGCTAGTACTGGGTACAAAAGAAGTGTAGTTTTGTACTTTTGTACTGTTAATTTTATATATGTTATCTACCATAGCTTGAAACAAGAAAAAGATTGATATTAAAATTTAAAGAATTATGTAATTCACGTATCAGAAACTGAACAGCTTCGTTTCAAAGATTTTGGGGAGAAATTTGGAATAAGTAAAAAACCAAATAAGTCATGTTCTAAAATCTAAAGGATAGAGAAAAAATAAAAATATTAGGGATTACTAATTCAAATGAACATCCCAGGACTGTAAAATTTAGAAAAATTGAAGCATGTGAAATTGATGCAGTTGTGTTCAATTGGTTTTGTTCTGTAAGGGCAAACAAACCTAAAAGCATCAAATGGTTGGTTAGAAAAAATTAAGTAAAGACAGGTCATTTCTTTTAACAGCAATATTCAACATGTAACAGACTGGATAAAAATACCTAAATGAAATTTGTAAGGAAATGGGGCTGAAAAAATCTACATTGCAGATGAAACTGAATAATTTCGTCGAATTTTTCCTAATAAAACTCTATGCTTCAAAGGAGAAAACAGCTCTCCTTTGAAGGATAGAGTTGAAGCATAAAATTCTGGCGGTTAAAAGCTCCAAGGAACGTCTCACTGTGCTGCTTTGTTGCAACATCGAAGGAGAGTTTGAGCAACCTCTTGTAACCGCAAAAAACAAAGATGCTTCAAGCACGTCTATCCAAACGCTGTATTTGTCCATAGGCAATACAATAAAATGTCATAGATGACGCAAAGCATAATGCCAGAATGGATGATTGCTCTTGACGCAACAATGTCTAGAAAAAATAGGTAGATTTTGCTATTTCTTGACAATTCGCCAGCCTATCCACCAAACATACAACTGGGATTGGTGAGATCAGTACTTTTACCACATAATGGTACAAGCTTCAAGGCCAGTTACATAAAACTATTTTTACGGCAAGTTCCTTGTCAAGCTGGGTGCAGAAACCAGCGATTAGCTTGAAATGTGTCAATGTACTGAATGCTATTCAATGGACACCACAGACTCTTAAATTCGTATTACAAAGTTGCGTCCAGCGCTGTTTCAAGAAAGCAGGCTTTGAAATTCCAGTTTCGAATACACAAATAAAGGCGTAAAAGTCTTTTATTTCAGTTGCAGTTGATGATGTGAGCTTCAACAAAAGTAATTTGGAAAGTAGTTAGGAAAACGAGGAACAGCCAAAGAAAAAAGTGTGTCATAAAAAACTATAGAAATGCCATACACCTCCCAGTTAAAAAAAAAAAAAGTTAGTCCCAATGAATCACTTAAAATTATCAACGGATTTAAAATTCACGTTGGAAACAATGTTTTCAATTCACAGACTTTCAAACAAATCCATGTAAAGGTGTGTGTTGTATTTAATTATGGCAAAGCACACTAGGGCTATCTGCCTAAAGGGGAGGGATGCCTTCGTGGAGGGCTTCTAAGGGAAACTGGCTAGTATACACGTTACACATGGGGAAAACCACGAAAACACCCACACAGCCAGACCGTTCGCGGGATTCGAACCTCGGACGAAACTACTAGTGTTCAGCGACTTTACCGTTCGGCCGCTGGTGGGCCCTCCGTGTAAAGGATTATTTTCAATAAATCCTATTAAGTATACAACTGTACTGTTCATTTCATACATTTTTGTAACAATTAAGATTTTCTAATTAAGAATTTTCATTTTTCATTAACTTCATATTCAAAGAAACACTTATGACTATGTTACGTATCTGTATATTATTTATTTAAAGCTTGACATAACCTTAATTTCTAATGAAATTAATTTTTTTTTAGTATAGAACCTCTGAAGAATTACTGAATGCTCTTGTCATATTCACGCCACTTTATTCAACACCATACAGCAGCTGTTATAAGACCCAAATATTCACTCAGAACATGTTTTCATTGCTGGTCGTCACTCACAATGACTTTGTTTTATAAGATATTGCTTTGCCAACTAAATTCTTTTATCAAAATACCGTTTTCGTATCAGCTTCTTTAAGCACGTTTTCTGACTTTGTAGGGACTCTAGACAGATCAAGCCATTACCAAAGGATTTCGGAAAATGATATTGAAATTTGAAGCAACAGGTTCATTGGCTGTTCGTCCTGGAAGAAGACTAAGGCCCTTTAGTGATAAGAGATGAAATTTTGATTCATGTGGAAGAGCTTCAAATTTTAAGGACGTTAGTATTCGCCATGTAGTACAGGCGTTGGCGATAACATCCAGTTTCAGTTATAACCTACGAAATATTCTCCAAAATTATCCTCACAAACTTGTATTTGCACAACACTTGTTTCCACATGATTTTGACGCATGACTCTCAGTTCCCGTTAGTTTATTGTCCTCTGTGTGATTGATCGGAATGGTTTTGGAATATGATACAGACAGAGGGAGAGCAATTTCTTAGGATGAATCAATGAAATTTTGCAGTTGACGAATTTAGGCTTCACAGAATCTGGGCTTGTTTGTGCTGTATGTTGTATTCTTTAAAAGTGATGGTATTGCGCGGATTTACTACATCATATATTCTGGGATCATACGTTCTTTGAGAATTTAAATCCGACTGTTCCGGTGGCGCGCTTTATCAGTGCCAGAGATACGCAGCACTGTTAGAAAGCAAAATTTGTTCTAACTCTAAAAGCACATCAGTGCCTTGCACACAGTCTTTACGCAGACGGAGTTCTTCAACACGTTGTTCTAAGAATATTATTAAAATGTGTGTCCTAAATACGTGTAACTTTACATTTTTTCTTTTTGTTTCATGTTTTATTCAATGTATAATATGTACTCAAAATAATTTTCGTCAGAACAATTTTTATTCTCTATTAGTTTTTAACCAGTACCTCTGCGCTTTTTGCAAAGCGTACGAAAGGGAGAAAATATGTCAAGCTTGGATAGCAATTCTTCCCATTGTTTTCTTCTTCAAACCAGAAACTGTTGAGGTGAGCAATCATGAACTGTATTGCTTTTACTTAAAGTTTTTGCTTTTCAGTTGCTTTATTATTGTTGATCCCATAGCAAAATAATGGGCGACCAATAGACTAAGATGGATGAGAGGTACCAACTGTAATCGCGTGACTTTGGCCATCTTCATTCCGAGATTGATCAAGAATGCTGAGTTTGAAATCTGATATTCTCATATCTCTTGCTCCAGGACTTCCGGTGACCGTTTCCAAGTGCCAGCTGGAACTGAACTGTCTGCAATCTAATTTGAAATTCACAAACTTGTAATCTGCAAACTATAATTTCCTGTAGCAGTAAGCTGGCTTGATTCATTTTGATAAAGTAAATGGGCGATTCAGAAAGTGTAAAAAGTAAAACTAAGGTTAAATTAGAAAGAAATCTACAGAGGCTGTTCGCACATTTTTTAGACAATTTTGGTAAGCGGTAATAAAACATCGTTTGCTACAAAAGAAGTAATTGCAATTGTACTATGTTTTTAAAAGTCAAAATTATCGTCTGTGGCTTGAAAGTTTTATTTTTATTCAAAATGGCGAATTTAACAAAGCAGTGGTTCGAAGACTACATTTACGCTCTTTCCGAAGAGAAATATGCATACTCCGTTATCCCAAAACGATGTGAGAGTCATAGTTTTGTGATATCTAAAGCGTCGATAGGTAATATCATCAACAAGAAAGGAAAAAAAAAAAAGTCAAATTGGAGCCTGAAGTGGGACAAAAATTCCAAACAAGTATCCAAGGAAAAGCGGACATCTTCGACTATTGCAAAAGTACGTTGTTTAATGTTAAAAGAAAATCCCCCTAGTCAAAGGACAGTTGCAAAATCATTAAAATGATCGGTGCCCACTGTAAACAAAATGATAAACGTTGATTTAAACCTTAAGAAAACGAAAAAACACAATGTGCATCGTCTTCTTCCAAAGTATATCGCTCAACGCAGGACACGCTGCAGAATTCTATATGAGAAACACTTATCCAAAGAAAAAATGGAAAACAATTGTCACAATAGATGAAGCATGGGTATATTTAAATGACTAACAAAAAAGAGCCATTTATTATCATAAAAGTAGAGGAAAAAATTTAAGTACATGGTTCAAAGAATCGAAAGAAAGTTTTTCTAAGGGATTCATGATTGTTGCTAGTTTTTCTTATAATGGCAAGTTAAAAATAAACAGAGTGCAAAAAAATGTCAAGATTAACTCCAAATACTATCAGGAACAGATTTTATCGCCAATTTTTCTGAATGAAATACCATTGCTTTACCCACAGTGCCATCCATCTGTGAGACTCCGTCAGGACAAAGCTAGCAGTCACACATCAAAATCCCCTGTAAATTTTCTTTTTGAACAACGGAAACTAATGTGCAATTTCAACTAATGTAAATTAAAGTTTTCTTAACAATTGATTTTGCACTTAGAGAATATATTTTATTGCATACTTTCATCCAAAAATAATCCCCAAAAATATTATTATATTTAAAATACAAAGTGTGATTAAAAAATACAAAAGAAAAGAAAAACCTGCTTTTCTGTATATTTAGTCGCAATGGCTACATCAGAGGCCTCATTTACACCAGAAACACTTTCCAGAAACTGATACGAAGGGAAGAAAGATTACAAGACCCTAAATTTCTTGCATTAGATCATTCTTGATTAACGTTAGAAGACAACTTAATGAAGTCTCACTAGCAATAGTGAGCTTCATGAACAATGACAAGAACAAATATTACCACTCAAGATCACTCCTGGCCCTTAGAGTGCAGAAAATAGCACGATTCGGCATACAAGCAACAGGAGCAAAAGCAAGAAACGAATTGGTAGCCTGACTAGAATTGTATAGAAAATTTATGCAGTACTTTCGTATTATTAATATACAGATAACATACTAGCGTCGTTTTGCAATTTAATTTTTTTGCTTAAAAAAAATTCCCTTACAGGTTTTGCTGAATAATTCCGCCATGAATACAAAATCGACTGAATACCGCTTTTTAGAACCATGGCTTGGAACAGGTCTCCTTACAAGGTAAGGTAAATTTAAAGATTATTTAACATTAAGCAATAGTAAGCCAGTTAAAGACCAGTGTTTTTAATTCAGACGACAAAATAATGAAACTGAAAAGATAGAATTAAATAATGTGCGTTTGCTGATTAAAAGTAATATGCAATCTTATAGGAATCACAGTATTTACTCCGAAAGTTTTAATCTTCCAGATTTAAGATTAGTCGTATTCTATTTTGAAACCGAATCACTCATTACGAAGTTTAAACATAATTAGCAATTAAGTTCTTAGAGATCTTTTTTCAATAAATGGTCCAGAAAATTTCAGTAAAATCTGGAAGAAGCTGCAGACACTTTGGAGGAATTTTAATAAGATTTCGATGAACAGACCTAGAATCATACTATATCACCTGAGTCGTACAGTAGTGTAATATTTTAAAATGTATCAAGGTCAAAAGATTTGAAAATTGTTACAGAATTCGGAACGCTTCTTCAGGAAGACAGAAATTTGCAAATGAATTAAATATCATAATAAAGCAGTATCAATTCAAAATTCAGGCTTCACGCGCGCTTCTAACGGGTAGAGGACTGCGTTACAGGGCGATAATATTTGGATAAATGCCGCTTCGAGACTAATAGCCCTTCTGGGGTAACGCGCTGTTGTGTAGTAGGCGAAACCGCCACACAAACCTCGGGTTGTAATGAACTTCTAACTCAAGTTATAACAATAACAGGGATTTTAATAAAATAAAAACATTAACAAGTGCATATCTAGACGATGTAGGACTTGGATACCTTCAGTCCCGTAATTTCAGAATTTCGTTAACAGGAAAAATAATTTATCGCATTATACACAAGGAGTGATAGTTGTAGCGGGCCAATATGCCCATAGTTCCAGCAGGAAAGTTGTCTCCTGTGGAGCGATGTCAGAACACCCGGGTGCCTGGGCCGAAAGCCCTACCCTAGATCGAAAATTTGAGCTGTTCTTAATTATGCAGACATAACAGTTCACATTAGAGTGCGAAGGAGTAAGTGCAGAATCTAGCAGAGTTAGCAATATGTAAAACTATGAAGAAGTAAGTACTTAATGATTGAATGTTGTGTATCTGGAAAAAAATTCGAGCTGGTGACTTGAAAAGTTGAATAAAAACAATTACAGTAGATTAAGAACATGGTAAAGTGCCAAACTTATGGTGACAGAAAATTTAATTGAAAAACTGAATGAAAGAGAGAGAGAGAGCATTACTACTAAAACCGAGGATATATAAATATTCTATAAACAGAGGTACATAATACATTTTTTTTTTTCAAATTTAAATATAAATATGAAACTTGAACATTATTAGTTGGCGTTATTCATAAAGATTTCCTCAAACAGATTAAATAAAACAAACATTTTATCAATAGAATTGTTAGCAGCCTGAATTTCAAGCATCACAGCTGAGATATTTTGAAGAATATGAGCAATGGAGAAACCTTTGAGTATATTGTATATTTCTTTCACTAACTTAAATATATCTGAGAAAGCATGAATGCCAACTTCTTTAGTTTGATCCTATTTTCTGCTTGATTTCTTAACCTCAGTCTTAGCATTCTGTACAGTGTTAAAGTCTTATGATGTTTGCATAAGAAAATCCAGGAGTAACCTGGGTGGATTTCACCCTGCTGACTTCCTTATTGTTGTTACTAGTATTTTTAATTATTTTCGGGAACTTTGGGCACATTCTGTAATTTGCTGTGTGTCCTATTTCCAGGCAATTGCAAGACTTTACAACATCTAATTTCTTAGCTGAACAGTCTGAAGTTTTATGTGGGCCTGCGCATTTTACGCAGCGTGGATTAAGCTTACAAGAATCAGAATTGGTGGTGGAAGTGTTGGCAGTTGTTGATACTGCACAGCACCTTCACTCACTTTGTATTCAACAATTTCAACATAAAGTAAGTGGTATCATAAACCTTCGCAACACCTTTAACATTTTCAAGCTGAATTTGGAAGAGAGACATTGGTGCACGCGACCTAAGTCTGTGCATTTGTGCAACTTTTTTTTAACCTTGAAACGGAAAGTTGTCTTTTCAGGAAAACACCTTTTATATCTCACTGTGTGGTTACTTCATGGAGGTAGGAAGTAAGAAGGAGTCGCCCTAAACAAGTTTCTCCGTACCCTGGTCTGAAGCACCGGCGATCCCTACGTGGTGACCAAAACATTGGGTCATTTACCATTGAGTTCTATGGGATTTGACGCGTTCGGGTGTAAATATTTTGTAATTACGTCGCAAATATACATATAAATGTATATATTTTCTTTTTCTACAACACTTCAGAGTCCTAAGTATGTGAAAACAACATATTTTTAAACAACATTTCATCCTGAACGGAATTAAATGCTATACTTTTCACAGGACAGTTTTCTCAGAATGGTTTAATTTGAATGAAATATTTTCACAAGTTTTCGTTAATTACTTTAGAAAAAAAAATTACGGTAATTTGATTTTATTCGGTTAAGGTACAAAATTAAGATCAAAGTTTATTGTATTATTAATATTAAAATTATGGCATTATTTCTTTTCTATTTATAGAGCTTCTTCCTAAAATACTTTCTTAAATATGACATGATTTGTTGGCTTCTTTTAAATCGAAAAATGTAAGTCAATTTATAATTAATGCTCTATTCGGTTCATTTTAAATTAGAGAATTATTAGGAATTAGCGAAATACTTTAAAGAAGTATTTCGCTAATTCCTAATAATTAAATAGGTATTAAATAGTATTTAACTTTCTCTGAACATTTCTGAAAGGGAATAAAATAAGTTTTTTTTTTTTTTTTTTTTTTTTTTTAAGTATTATTTAAAACTTGTAACTGAGTTTATTAAAAATCTAAAGGGAATAATTCTTTTAATTATACTTATCAGATTTTTTTTTTTTTTTTTTTTTTACCCTTCATTTCAACAATACATATTCCAAAACTCTTTATTACGTTCTTAAGTGCGCATCTCATAGCATTTGCTTTACAATACCTTTTAACAGATTGCTTTCCAATACGAACAATTCTTGCTTAAATAGTTTTATAACGTATTTGTCAACAGGATTTCAATTTATGTTTACAATTCAATATTAAGGTTATTAGATATTTAGATAACATTTATAATCATTATAAATTAGATATATTTAATCATTAGATTTCTTCACAGTACTTTCACAGTTGTTTATAAGTGAATAAATTCTTCATTTCAGATACATTTATAAATAAGTTAATGAATATTTAAGTATTTTGTCAAAGGCAGATACATGCTTTTTGCAAGCACATGCATAAATACCCATACATATTTCCTATTTATCATTTACGGCATGTGCAAATCTTTAATTTCTGTGCATTCACTATATTTTTCGTGTAAAGTAATTTACACTAATTTAGCATACACCCGAAAGTTTTACATAAAAAATATATATGAATATAATTTGAATGAAAATTATAAGTATTATTTTTAATACCCACTCAAAGGTCAGTTTTTCTTCAAAATTCCTCCACGATGGCATCTCTCTCTTTAGGCAGATAGCCCTTGCATGCGTTACTCTATTTAATAAAAACTTAATCTGACCTATGTGCCTAATTACAAATATTTTAACATACATAATTTAATATTTACATTTAGCCATCAAGTTTCAAAATTTTCAAATCTTCTAGAAAATAAATTTTGGCAGATCTCTTTTAGCAATTTTCTTAAAATCTATATTTTTGTAGTGCAACAGCTTATTTTATAAAACAAATTCATAATCAAAATCGCTGTTGTTAGTTATCGAAAAATAACCAAGATTTTTGCGCGTAAATGTCAGTAAACTATACAAACTGCTATTATCCATCACACTATGAATGTTTTTTTCATGCGAGAGTGTCCCTTTTTCGATTTCTATGGAACTGTCGTGTGTCGAAATACTATCAGAATCTTGTCAAGCGAGCTTCTGAATGTAAACAAAGAACACCCTGTCTGGTGACCCAAGCGTCAAAGCAGTGCTTCACTTCTAGCGCGGAATGGCCCCTCCTCCCTTTCCTACCTCCATGGGTTACTTGCCCTGAACTCCCGGAGGGGGGAGATTCCTTCACTCGTAAATAACAAAGGTGTCCATATTCTGACCCTGATGAAAAGACTTGTCCTTTGAAGTGAGTTTCGAGGATGCAACCGGAATTATGAAAAAAGGCAGCTCATTCCACAGGATTTCACCACTCATTTGAAAGAGCTACCAATGCATTCTGAAATCATTCATCCCAGACAAAGAACCACTATCTCCGTGGAACAGTGTTTGGTCGTCACCTTCGAGAAACAAGGCGGTCCAGCTCTCTCGTGACGTCACGATGAGGAGTGCAAAGAAATCTCTCTCCTGCATTCGAAGCGAGTGAACCCACAGAGCGCTAATTTATCAGAGACGATAATTTTATATTATTCTGATGTGAAGTAAATAGGAGATTATTAAATAAATGATACTATGTTAATATTTAAAAACTATATATCACGCTTTAAGATTTCAGACATCTGAGCTTATTTTTCTTAATACTTGATAAAAGTTTTCACCTGGATGATCAATAATTATTTATATTAGTCTCATTTTGTTTTCCATAGATTGGATAAACTTTCCAACGCTTCATAACGCGGAAATGTTAAGCTTTCGAACTGCAAACGAAACATTGCATATTATTTTTCATTTATATGTAAACATGAGAAATATGAATAAAAAAAGAGCATTTTAAAAGAACCAAACTTTTTCTTACAGACTTTTTAAATAATATTTAATTTTCTTCAGTATGGCGATAAAATGAAAGAACTAGCCTTTTCGGTTATTACATTAATTTTTTAAGCAAATTTTAGTGTAGAAGATCTTTTATAATAAACTAAATATTAAAAAGGAATATTTCATCATTTATTTATCGATATAAATATATTAAAATTTATTTTTAATGTCAACATTGTTTTAAACTGTCAAATGGTGCTATTGTTATTATTAAAATTATTATTAAACTTGCAGTGATCCAG